TATCTGTAATGTGGTCCTGTGTTGGTAATTTATATTCATCATTAATTTCTATAAAACAAATATAAATATATCAACATAATATTTAACTATAACTTGAACGACGCATCTCTCGCTGAGGAAGAGGAAAAGGACGGACAGTGATGATTTATGTTGAATAGTAGAAAAATCTGTCTCTGTGTTTGTTTTCAGCTGATTTCAGAGAGAAGTACTGTCAGCTCGCTCCCATCGGCTCAGGAGGCTTTGGCTCTGTCTACAATGGGTATCGGAGATCGGACCGTTTACAAGTACGTCTTACAAACACATTCTTACAAACACATTCATAAACACATTATGACACTCACTAATCTTCATGAAGTACCAACCACATTATTTCTGCCTGTGGCCATCAAGCACATTCCCTGCCGTAAAGTGATGACAGAACGAGTGGTGAGTAGTTTGAACTTTTGACAAACACCAACTGTTGAAATTAAGACTAAACCCAAATGTCATCGCTCTGCTGTCGATGAACAAACGCTACGAATCAGGAGGAAATACTTCCTTATAGTCCCTTTTAACTCTGTTTCTGTTTGTCGTTTTCTCAGATGATCCTGAGGCAGTTGGTGGATGCAGCCATCCACATGCACTCAAAGGGTGTGTTTCACCGGGACATCAAGTTGAAAAACGTCCTGGTTCAATTGGACAATTGGAATTTACCAAGGGTGCGGATTATAGATTTTGGCTGCGTAAGCTTCTCAACTGAGGCGTCTTTCAGCTCCTTCTGTTTTTCCTTCCTATGATATCTGAGAGTGGTCAGAAATGAATGCATACTGGGCCCATCCCACCACAGTTTGGCAGCTGGGGGCCATCTTCTATTCGTTGCTGAGTGGACATCTGAGATTTACCACCAGTGCTTTTGTTGGAAACCACATTCCAATCAACAGTGCACTGCCCAGTGGTAAGACCCACATATAGTTTTATACTAGAAGGTATCTTTGATGAAATCTGTTCAGATACATAACTAACCGTAGTGCTAACGCTGTAAACAGGTTGAAACTGATAGGTGATTGTTATTTTTGGCTGATTAGGTATGATAACAGTAAATGTCCCTTTAGAATAACTGAGGGAAACTGGCAGAAGATGAAAATAAAAACTTTAATTAATTGTCTCAACGACATACAAAGCAAGCTACGATCAGCTGGAGACTGAGCAATGTTGTCAAAGTTGTAAAAAAGCTCTTTCAGGCATGAAAAGCTTCTTTTTTCAGCCTACTCTGCTACTTGCTGCCACAAAGGCAAGACAAAGAAATTACAAAGTTGTCAACCTACATCTAACTGCCTCTTGTGCCAGTTATAATATGTGTAATCTAAAGAATTAAAACACATGAAGCTTCTGACATTAGTTGTACAATCAACAGTCAAAGTTAAATATGCAAAAATGTAAGAAAATAAATTAGAATCAGGTTTATTGCCAAGTTTTCACATTCAAGGAATTTGCCTTGGTATTTTGTTTAATAACAATAAACAGATTAAGTTAAAATATATATACACAGCTGCAAAAGTGAATAAAACAAATACGATGAGGTGAAGCAGAACAGCCAGAGATGGATTTAAAACTGTTCAACTTTTACGCCTTAAACATTCCATATAGAAAACATATTGTATGTATGCATGTTTTATGTATTAATCACTTTTTATTGCCAATGTGTGAACGGGTTGTAACGTAACTTAAAACATGTGACCTTCCCACATTAAATTAGGAATAGCATATAGCTTTTTAGCTATTAGGAGCCAAAATCCTGCAGCCAGCAAGGCAAACAGTTATGTTGTGTCTTTGCCGATCGACGTTTGCCGTAGTTTTATAAAAAAAAAAATAAAGCAATAGGGTTGATGAGTGTCCTTTCAGTCACTGTTTATTTGTTTGTTTGTCAGTCCAATGTGATGTTACTGTAAACTAATTACATCACTGTGGTGAAGCGTAACCGCCGTTTGTGTTTATTAAACAACCTTTTACTCTGAGTAGAAAACATCAGAAAACCTGCAAAGGACAGTGACTTTAGGGGGCGTGGCCTCGACACTGACCGGAGTCATTGACAGATTAACCGCAGCAGCGTAGCAGTACAGCGAGCTGTTATTCAGAGCTAATGAGCAGCCGCTGTCAGACTCCCTGTGGCCGTGCTGGAAACAGAGTCCGCTGGAGGTTTTACAGTCACTCGAAGCACTTTGACGGTTGTTTGTAAAAGTTTGTGTGTGGTACCTGTGTTGTGGCTGAGCTAGCAGCAGTGTTAGTTGGCTGACGTAAGCTTGCAAAATTACTTCACCAGCTAATGTGGTCCATGATACTAAATGTATTATAACTTTTGCTTTCTACTGACCAAGAGCAATATTAAGGGCATCCAACTAATTAACTGCCATAGTTTTCCCTTCAAATATAGGTTTTAAATAATTGTTTTCTAAAAAAATGTATTGTCTGCGTGGGCGGCTGTGGCTCGGACGTAGAGCGGGTCGTCCACGAATCAGAAGGTTGGCGGTTTGATGCCTGGCTCCTCTTGCTGCATGTAGAAGTGTCCTTGAGCGAGATACTGAACCCCAAATTGATCCCGATGCTGCACATCCATGTTTGAATGTCTATGAATGCTTAGTTTCTGTTCTGATGAGCAGTTGGCACCTTGCATGGCAGCCACTGCCGTTAGTGTATGAATGTGTGCAGATGGGTGAGCGTGGCATGTAGTGTACAGCGCATTGAGTGGTCGGAAGACTGGAAAGGAGCTATATAAGTACAGTCCATTACATTTTTACCAACAACTTAACTGCAGCCTCCACTGCAAAGAGCTAATATTTTATAAAATTTCCAGATGGACATGTTGCTAAAATAAGCTATCTGCTGCTAACCATTACCACTTGTCATATAAAGTAGGCTATACTATTATTGTTACCATTGTTGCATCTGTCTATCTTTCTCTCACAAATGAAGGTGTGATCCTATGTGCAATAAAATCCAGGGTTTGTAGTCAACATGTGCGTGCCTATAGTGCTGTATCTGTGTGAGAAAAGGTGAGAGTCTGTGTGTACAATGTGTGCACATGTTAGAGGTGTTTCTTACTTATTCATGCCGGGGAGATGCTTCACACAGTGGAAGAGAGGCTGCACAGCATCCCCTCATTTGTAAAAAGAGGCTTTGTATCGACACACATGCTCGTTCTCATCATAAGTAGAAGAATGGAAACACAGAGCTTATCGGCATAATTGGTTACCTAGAATGCTGGCAGTAATTTGGACGTACTGATCATTCAAAGTGTATCACAGACTAGATGGATCATAATGATGTTTAAAAAAATAAGTAATGAAATATGGTATATAAATAGGAAAATTAATACATATAAAATTAAAAGTATATGTATTTAATTATCTAAATTAAATCAACAAGTAGGCAATATAATTGATAAATAATGAGTAAATAGATCTCTAAATGAATATGCTTAAACTTAAATAGAGTATGGAGTCAGAGTTAGGGCTGGTGCTGATGCTGGGCCTCCTGAAGATCTTTTTGATGAGCTGGTAGAGTCTGAATCTCTGCTGAACAACCAGACATAATTATTCATCCTGCTCCCAGAGGATGATTGACCAGTGCAGTGTTTAAAGTGATTTTTAAATATATATAATACATATATAATTATAACCAATCTTGTCTTTCATGAAAGCAAACTCCCTCCAGACAGCAACAGAACCAAAAAGAGTACAGAGGGTTTGTTATTTTATACTTTATCGTGTAAGAAAAGAAAAAATGATAATATTAAGGAACTTAACATGTTTTCTTAAATCAGAACAACATTTGTGAACCAGCACTACTGAGTACTTTATTATAATGCTGTTCTGTCACACATTTAACCTTTACCAAACTGGATGTTGCAAGTGGCCATATTGCAATTACAATAATATTGAGCAGCGATCAATGATTGACCTGACCCTAACCCTAAAGTGACCTGGTTTGATCTGTTCCAATCAGTGTTGTCCAATTTTGTACCTAAACATCTCTAATTTCATTTATTGATCTATCAACAATTATATAACAATAACAATTTTGTGCCACCTGATTGTATGTATCTGCATGTTTTAGGCAATACAGCTCAGACTTCACCAACTCTTACAAAACTGACAAAAAAATGTTTATTCGTTTTTGAACTACACAGTTGATTTCCTCAAAAACACAGTATATGGAGTTGATAAACATATACCTGTTATTTTTATAAAAGATGGTGGTTCTGATTCAATAAAAACATATAAAAACATATAAAACAATAGAAAACTCCAAAGTGCAAAGGAGGCTGGTATACTTTGAAGCAGCGCTGTATGTACAGAAACACAAACATATACTTTTAAAACCCAAAGTGTTTCTGGGGATGTGTACCAAAGAGGGCATTACTGTGGTATATGAGGATGAACTTAATCACTTGATCTATTAATTATTAATTAAACAATTTCAGTCTGGATGGAACTTTAGAATGCTCATTTGCATATTCTTGGTTCTTTTGCTTTTGGCCTTTAATGTGTCACATTCCACGTATCATCATATTCTGAAGATAACAGTTCTTCTGACCGTAAAGACTTGCTGGGTATTACTACACACATTTCAGTTTTCTACAGGCGTTTAGTCAAAAGATCTTGTTTGGAACTTTGACAACGACATGTCTTCGGAGATAACGCACAAGTTGGTGACTTTGACCTCAGGGAAAGATCAAGGTGAGTGCCTCGTAGTCTTGTTGTGTTCAGACTTATCTGTAATGTGGTCCTGTGCTGGAAATTTATATTCATTGTTAATCTCTATAAAACAAATATAAATATATCAACATTATTTTTAATAACTTGAAGTGATCAAATAAGCTTGAAGTCCTTGATATTTAGTATTTAATGTTATTATCCCTTTACGGTCAGTACTGATATAATCTGTCACCTCCAAGTCCTTTCAAGTCAATCTGAGTACATGACCGTCATAATGCATAAAAAGTTGGTGCTTTATTTGAACTGAAATGCAATGCATGCACTCATTTGTAGACAGCGACGTAACGACGCATCTCTCGCTGAGGAAGAGGAAAAGGACGGACAGTGATGATGCAGGATCTCCCAAGAAGAAGATCCTCATCACCTCCACTGATACCTCATGGCATTCAGTGGAGGACACTGTCCAAAGTTGCAAGAGGAAGGCCAGTGAGGATGATGAGCTACCTAAAATGAGATTTAGGTGTGGCGACAGTACCAGCACTACCGAGTCCAGTGCTAAAGTGAGGAACACGAGTTCTGATGGCGATGGAGGTGACGTCAGGCAGGACTCAATATCCTCAACTGAGGAGGAGAGAATCTACGAACTCTCCTCCTCAGCAAACACAAACAAAGGTAAGCTAATACTGGGAAACAAAGTCACCTTTATTTCTAAAACACAAATAATATTATTTTTTAAAGTAGAAATGTGATCAAAAGTTTTAAAAAATCTGTGTGTTTGTTTTCAGCTGATTTCAGAAAGAAGTACTGTCAGCTCGCTCCCATCGGCTCAGGAGGCTTTGGCTCTGTCTACAAAGGGTATCGGAGATCGGACCGTTTACAAGTACGTCTTACAAACACATTCATAAACACATTATGACACTCACTAATCTTCATGAAGTACCAACCACAGTATTTTTGTCTTACAGGTGGCCATCAAGCACATTCCCTGCCGTAAAGTGATGACAGAACGAGTGGTGAGTAGTTTGAACTTTTGGCAAACACCAACTGTTGAAATTAGACTAAACCCAAATGTCACCGCTCTGCTGTCGATGAACAAACACGCTACTCATATTTTAACCCTGTCTCCTAAAAATGACATTCACAT